ATCGCTGATGGATTGAACCGGATTCACTCATCTATCCTGGCTGGCCACGTGCAATTTACAACCATCGGATGAGGCTGCATCATGGTCTAATAACTACCCACCTGTCTAATGTTCACACGCTGCCTTGTTGACGAGCGCCATTATTCAGTGGGGTCATTTTCAATTGATGGAATTTTGTTTTGTCACAAGTGAGGCCCTCTTAATCCGAATTCTACCCTTCAGCCAGTCTGAAATATTATACCATCTCAGGAGTAAGTTTTGGTGCTTCTGCCGGCAAGGTTACTAAGGTAACTGATGAAGATACGTAGCATCTCTCACGATGTCAAGAGAGGGATTCATTCATGACCAGGATGTCAGAGAAGGAAATCGCAAGCAGCCTGACTTATTGTAACAATGTGAAAGGCTGCCAAATGACAGACCAGCGACCAGCTGTCTCGAATGTGTGTAACATCTGTCCCTGCCGAGCCTTGAAATCCAGCTAGTGGGGATAAAGCTAGAAGTGACTTCTAAAAGCCTTCGCCATTGGAGAAACCGCGGGAAGCCTGCTATCCCCGCAACTCAAAAAGAATAGTGTACTTTGAAGATGAATCGACATTGTTAACAACAAGGCAAACAGACCTCAAACCGTTCTCATCTGCTGTGGACATGACCACCGGCTATTTAAAACTAATTGTGAAGAATAGGTTCCAGGCCAATGTGAGCGTAACATCGAGTAAAATTTATCCCTGTACCAAAACGTGCAAAGCCAAAGCCATTTTGGCTTACCGATATGCTACCGAACCACGTGATCGCCCGTCGACCTCCGGCGAAACACATCCGTCAACTCGCTACCTCAAACTGACTGAGGTTATGACACGTTGACGTTCCTGATGCAAATAACACTGATATGAAGTATGTGCATTGTCCCGGTTTTTACTCCCACCAGTAGAAAGTCGAAAAAGCATGAAAACAGCAAACAGTTGCATTTCATGTACACAAAAGCATAATTTGCTTGCAGTGGCAGGCTACCTTTCTGGTCCTGGTCCTCCCATGGCTCCGTGATCACGATCGGTGGACTGGAAGGAGATGTTTGTAAGGCGACGTCGGCATTCTCTCCATAAGAGGCGTTTCGACGGCGTAGCCACTGGTGCTTACGGCCAGGGGTAATTTCCGCCCCTGGACTAACACTTAGGCTCGACTTGGTGATCATCAGGTTCAGTCGATTTTGCTCCTTCAGAGCCACTCTGCGCTCCCGCTCGAACTCTCGCATGGTCAGCCTCTGACCGGCTTGTTCCCTGGCCGATGACGACCTGTCGCCCTCTGAGGAAGATGCCTCAGTGTCCTGACTTGCTGTCCCTTTCATCGAAACACACGTCACAACGCTGCTGTTGTCAGTGGCCGCTGAAAGCAGATTTTTTGTTAGCTTGTGCTACGACCTTAGCGAACGATCACCATAACATCATGTGCGATTTATAGGTTGGGAGTCAAGTCTCTGAGTCAGAAAATCAAAACAGTGTCGTGTCTCTCATTTTCAAGGCCTCTTCCCAACCCCACCTTCTCCATACTGGATGATCAAATGAATACTAGGAATACAAGGGGTTTCAAGAACGATTTCTGATAGTTTCAATAAAAGATGAACTGGAGAAGTTATAATATGTAACCTAACTTCAGAAATGGTCTTGACCCGGATGAATTAGTAGGATATGATCAGTTATAATTAATTTCACGGAAATTACGAATTAAAGAATGCTGATCTATCTGCTTTGCAACACGTTTTGCAAAACAACGGAAGCATCATGGAATTGGAGCGTATACTTGAAACTGCAGGCGTTAAGGTGCTTTCAACCATCAGTAGTTGAACCATCAGTATGTTGTTTTTGATTTTTCACTTTTCGAGTGGTATCAAATCCCACTTTATTTGTAATCTCTTAGAATTGTTGTTGTCCTCAAAGGAGCAACGGTCTTTTTCGAGCTTCAGTAGAACACTGATCTTCTTTCCCTTTTGACGAAAGCCGCCAATGTCCCCCCCTGAACTTATGTTTTATCTCAAAATATCAAACGTATTTCAGGTACCAACTTAAATACAAACTGCAGGTCACTCATAAACGACTGTTACAAGCATTGACACTGGCATTCTGGTTTTCATAAAAAGATTAAGGACTTCAAATCCACTGATATCTGCCTTTCTGGCCAGAGTGGCGATTGCATGTTTCACATTGGTATATAGATTCAGAGTCAAACCTTCAATGGTATGATCAAACCTGTCTAGTGCAAGACCTTTGGGTAGTTCGCCTTAGGCAAAATCTGAATGGCACATATGACAGGGCATCTACCTCACACTCAAACGATAGATAGAGTGTTAGAACCCACGCCAACGCAACTTTATCTTTTATTTTACCGAGGCAGATAAAAAAATACTACTATGTTGGAAGGAAACAGGAGGTTAAACCCGTAGTGGCCGTCTAACTGCAGACACCGCCTTAAAAGCCATAGCGTTCCTGGCAGATTTTTTGATGAAGATTAGCCCAGCACTATGAGCTCAGTAAAAGCATAACTTCGCAAGTGAGTCAGTGTAAGAGAGGTGGACGTCCCAACAGCAACGGGCTATCCTATCCTTGTTCTCGTTAGTATTTTTTACTCTTCTATACAGATGAGAGGACACAACGTTTCAGGGCCATATAACGTCTATCCAGCCCTCAAAATGCAAAGTTCTCTCCTCACGTGGCGGTCAATATCAAAGGATTATGCAAACTACTAACTAACCTACTTACTAACGACCGTTGTTTCCAGAAATTTCTTCACTATAAATCTTATTGATCATTCTGCAAGAGGCGATATTTCCTTGATGCTCTGATAACCAGAAACACCAAGGATCATATGGTACTCACCATTTTGAGTTGAAGGACACAAGAAACACACTGTCATTCAAGATATGGCAAAGTCAGGCGTCATATTTTACCTGGGGTCATACAAGTTACAGAAAGACTGCATTTGAACATACAGACGTAACAGACCAGTAGCATAACACGGTGCTGTTTAGACAAACTAGCTGCTGAAAGAGATCATCCACATTGAACACTTCGGTCCTGCTGATCACTATCATGATTTAAATATCTGAACGGCAGGACCATGCAAATATTCACATGTTTTACGTATCTCCATTTATACAGAATATTTACTTGTTTACCTCAACAGTAGAAATCAAAACAGTGAAAACATATGACATTGTCATGCTGTAAAAAAGTCCTCACCTGCCTCCGTGTTGTCTCCGTCTTTGTCCTTCTTCAAGATGGACATTTTCAATTCTTTTGCAGGAATATGCATAGCGATATTATTTGAGTATAATGGAATTCTTTTAACACGTGAATGGAGTTTAATGATAGACCTGGAATGAAGAGTTCTTCTGAACTTATCTCACCGCAGAAGTGTTTTTGACTTCATAACAAAAGACCGACCGGGCGACTGAGAATCTGTTTCTGATCGTATAATCTTTTAATCGCCTTAGACGGATAAACAAACGATCTTTGAGTAAACATCATTTTTAACATACCAGAATTGCTCCTGTTTTTTTTGTACAATGATTCGTAAAAACCTGTCTGAAGAACCGGCCCTTGTATTATGCCAGTAATGTTTGTAGCTTAGAAACTTTTGAACAGTCTGCCCTCAGTTTTGAAAGTTGAATACCTTCTGGTTACAGTGATACATTTCTTGATCCTACGAATTGGCATCGATCGTCACCAGGGAAATCATAACAATTTTTATTCTTGTAAGTAAAACTGTTTTTTGGTCATCGTGCTGTCAAACGCAGAATAATTTTCAAGTCATCTACGGCGCAGTATCGGTAAGAGCTTCAGAAGTTGCATACAGGTTACTCACACTTACTACGTAATTACACGGTGCTGTTGTTCAGACCCCCCTTTCTGGGGGGTCGTCGTCAACATCGAGGCGTCCAAAGTTTTTTCCGACGGTTTATTGTATAATTTCTTCTTCTGTTTTGATTTTCTTCCGGAGTAGTACGTAGAAATTTATTTCGACTCCCAAAGTTCCAGTGGGCATCATAAATCTCTCAGGAAACGTTTACCGTAGCACCTAAGCACAGCCCTTTTAGTTTAAGTGTGGACTGACGTGCAGCTTCTCTAGAATCGTATAATTTGCGTCGTCCCACGATCCCAGAGCCTCAACGACTTTCGCATTGGGAGTTGCATTATACCCATGTTCTTGTAGTCTTTATTGGATGCATTTATAATGTGCAACTGTGGGTGACCGTGCAGCCTGAAACGCACCATACCTAATCGCAAAGGGGATAACAGTAACCTCTATGGCCGTGGTTCAGGACCACGCTGTTTTACTGTACTGTACAATTCATCAAGGCATTGCTTGGTT